GTAGACGTGTTTGGTCTTTTGTAGAGGAGCTGTGTGGTGGGAGGAAAGCCGGCCCCAGCCCCTGCTCTCCAGCAGGGAGCACCCCTGCGTGAGGGTGACTTAGAAGGGGCGCTTGACCTCAAGAGCCAGGGTTTCCTTACTCAGCCGTCTACTGGCTATGTATCATGAGTGTCGCTCATTTCCACGGCCAGGAACGTGGGTGTGGAGCTGGCAGGTGCAGGGCGGTGGCCTACAGGGGTCCCTGCTGCTCCTCAGGGCCCCTCATCCCAGCTCTTCCGCATTTCAGCTCCCTAGAGACCTGCAGGGCTCTGCCGCGGCTCCAGAACAAAGGCGGGGACGCGCTGTAACTGAGCTGAGCAGAGCACAAGGCCTCCAGTGAGGTCCACCATTCACCATGTGCTTTGACACTGTTTCGCAGTTAAGAACTTAACAGCACACAGAATAAGTGATCTGCTTTAAGTTTCCGCATCAGATGAGTGGCGAAGCTGGAATTTCCACCAAGTTCTGTTTGACAGTGCAGCTGGAATCTCTGCTATTTTTCTTTTCTTTTTCTTGTTTTAATTTTTGAGGCAGGATCTCGCTAGGTAGTGCAGGCTGGCCTTGAACTCACTACGAAGCCCAGGCTGGCCTTAAACTCACGGCGATTCTCCTGCCTCAGCCTCATGAGAGCTAGGATTACAGAGGTACACCACCTTGCCCTGCAAATCTCTGTTACTTTCTCCTATTACTCATGGCTTGATTTAATCTATCTCCTTATTACTAGTTCAAAAAATTGAATGTTTTATTTAGAAAAATATGAAAACATCAAAGAATAAAAGTCTTTCATAATCCTTTCATACCACCCAAAGAAAGCCATGGTTAATATTCATTTTTTTAAAAATCCAGTCATTTTTCTAGCTTTCTTTGAACTAAATTGAAATGAGAACAAATATTTATCTGCCTGTTTATCTAAGCTATCTCCTATTTCTTTTGTGTTGTTTTGTTTTGTTTTTTGAGACAGAGTCTTGATATGTAGTTCAGGCTGGTCCTGAACTTTCATTGATCCTCCTGCCTCAGCTTCCCAAGTGCTGAGATCACAAGGTGTGCACCACTATTCCTGGCCCATTTTTTAATTTTCTAATCCTCCTTTCTAAAGGGGGCTCCCTTTTCACTGCCTGCCTCACATGAATGCACATCCTTTCTCTACTGACCCAGCTCCACAGATCTGATATTCCCAGACCTGGCATTTATCATTTAAATAATTTATTTCAAAATCTATCATTGACATGGTAGCACATGCCTGTAATCTCATTGTTTGGGCAGCTGAGGTGGGAAGATTGCTGTGACTATGAGACCAGTGTGGGCTACATAGTGAGACCCTGTCTCAAAATAAAAACAACAAAAAAACCCAAAACAACAAAACAACCCCAAAAAACCACAGATGAAAAAGCAAAAATTCTTCCCTGTCTCCAAAAAAATAAGAAGAAAGAAAAATTCTTTGAGACATTAGATTATTGGTCAGGGCTCCATGGCACAAATGCCTGCCTGGCAAGCATAAGGTCCTGAGTTCGATTCAGGAAAAAAAAATAGATACATCTCGGGATTATTGGTCATTTTGTTGTAGTGATGGCAGTTGTTTTGTTCAGAAAAACTCAGGCTGTCCTCTATTATTTAAAAATCTTGGGGCTAAGGACTTAGCTCAGTGGCACAGTGCCTGCCTGGCAAGCGCAAGGTTGTGAGTTCAGTTCCTGGTACCAGAAGACCCCGTCTCAACAAACCAAGCCAACCAACCAACAAACAGACAAACAAAAAATGGCTTTTGTAGAATGGTGGGCTAAAAATCAACATACTGAGATTTAGCATGAATAAATACAATGGCCTGCTCTTTGGATTGAAAATATGACACAAAAGCTAGGGGAGGTAGCAGAAACCTCTAATTCCAGCACTCAGGAGGCTGAGGCAGGAGGATTGCTGTGAGTTCAATGCCAGCATCCACTAGTTCAGCCTGAACTGCAATAGTAAGATTTGTCTCAAAAAAAAAAAAGTGTCATACAATACAGGCAAATCTTACGTGAAACAAAAGCTGGGAGAAGTTAAGTCAGCCATGGGTTCCCTAAAAGCCCTGAGTGGGAAGCAGATGCTAAAAGAGCAGATGTGACCTTAGAAGCTGTCTTCTTAGTCAGAAGGAGCTGAGCTCCGAAGCGTGATTGGCCTAGGAGACCCAGGCTGGTGAGGTCACATCTGTACCACTGTGCACGTCCAAGAAAGACCTGGACAAACTCAAATCCATCCCCAGAAGAGCGAGGCCCTGCACCCCGCTGGCTAGGATTGAGGCCGCTGCAGGCAGGCGTGGTCGGTGGGGGCCTTCACTGGCTTCATTCCTGAAGGGCTGCCGGGGGAAGAGTATGGCTTGTCCCGTCCCCCCCACAGGGCGGAAGCCGGATCTGTAAGGGCAAGGGGCAGCGCGAGGAGGACTTTTGTTCCGTCTCAGAATCGTCCAGCACGGCCAACTCACCACAGTGTTCTGGGAAAGTGTCCAGGGAGATGCTGGGGTCCGCACATCCGAGGGCTTCTCAGAGAGCCTCTCCTCTGGGATGAAAGTT